TGGGCTTGGGGGTTAATTATTGTAAAGGATTTTTCAGTCATTTTTCAGTCACACAAGTCTTTTTGTGTCACTACAGTCCTGTTTCTTGTCCTCTGGCACGAGCTTTGCCGTTGGCAGCTCGGTTTCCATCTCCTGGTTCTGTGTTTTTTCCCCTTTTAATTGTTCTCAGCTCTTGTTTTCAGTCAAATGTGTGTTTTTGGTGGTAGTTAAACAAACTGGATGTCAGGTTTTTGGGGGGTTTTTTTATGTTTTAACTTTCTGTGTGGCCTTGGAAGCTGGTCCTAACATGTTCTATGTCTCTTGTTTACTCATCTTTGAAATAAATAACACCTACTTGGCTGGGGAGTAATGAGGGATAATTAATTAATACATGCAAAGAGTTCTGAGGTCCTTAACTAAGAGAAAGCCAAGGATCATTAGGTTAGTTAATTCTCTGCTTTGTTTTTTTCTCCATTTCTTTTTGGTTAAGTGTGTCAGGAGGGTTTCTTTTTTCCCCCCAGCCTCTTGCTTTAACTCCTGTTGATGTCATTTCTCCTTTCAAGTGGAACTTGAAAACCAATAAGCTCAATTACACATGATCCTAGAATGAGGAACTAACAAAAAAACCATCTCTTTAATTTTTCATCCAGAAAATATTCTCGTTTTCCACTCTGCTTCTCTTACTTAAAGGAACTATAAATCAGTGTGTTCCTTTGGTGTTTGCAGTCACTGGGAGAGATTTAGTGCTGCTGGCAGAGTTGGGTTTGAAATGGGCAACTGTGGAGGGCAGAGAGCTGTACGGAGCCACATTCCATTCACACACACATTTGCTTTCCTTGGCTCTCATCCAAATGAGGGTTTTTTTTCTTGTTGTTTTCCTTTTTTGAGTCACTTGTGAGCACGAGGGAAATCGTGTGGGCAGAGGGGAGAGTTTTTTCATCTCGTGGTCAATCTGTCACCTCGTTATTATTCACCTTTATCCTCCTCTTTTTGCAGATAGGAGAGAAACACAAGCTGGGCATTTCAGAGAACCATGGGCATCCCCAAATCTTCCTTCTCAGCGAATATGTTGGTGTGTCACAACCAAGGACCTGGCATCTTCCTGCTTGATGAGAGCAATTGTTTTGTCTCTTGACTTTGTAGAACAAAAAAAAAAAAGGGGGAAACCAAAAAGGGTGTTTGTTGCCCAGGGTGGGTGTTGAGTCTGTTCTTTGCTCTGCTGCAGAGCCAGCTTAGCTTCTTCCTGCTGTTATTTCCTCACCAGTATCCACTCCACAAGTAGCCATGAGACTTAATTCACCCATGTCCACACGTGTTTTGGGATGTACATCGATACCACTCGGTTGCCAAAGAGTCAGATCCCTTCTGCCTACGTCCACAAAGCTGCTTCTGCCTCTTCCCACTTCACCTGTCGCTGTCTCCCTGAGTCTTTTGTCACTACAAGAAGATTTCCAGCTCTGGTGCTTGGTGTGTCCCCATTTCTGCTCATTTGAGGCAAAATCTGGCCTCAAAATCATCGAATCATTACAGAATCACAGACTGGTTTGGGTTGGA